CAGAATTGGCTCTCTCCAATCTATCTCGCCTTGTATGTTTTCCACTTCTCTTTTCTCATAACTTGGTTGAATTAACATATCAAAGAATGAATTCTCCAATGGTTGGCCTGTGGCGGCTGCTTTTGCAAGCTCATCAGCTTCCCCATTTTCTTCTCTTGTTATAGCTTTTACTGTTATCCCTCAAGGAAGTGTTTTTCATTCAGCCTTGCTTCTTCCAAGTACTTTGCCATTGTCTCTTATTTTGCTTCAAATGTTTTTGGAAAAGTGACCTGCCACCAGCTTTGAATGAGTTTTGATTATCAATCGTCGAGCCCCTAGTGCTCTTGCCTTTCTCATGGCTAATAAAACTCCTTCGTATTCTGCTGTGTTGTTTGTTGATGGGAAAACTAGCTTTGCGGAATATTTGAGTGTTTGCTTCATCGGTGTTTTTACAACCGCTGCTACCCCTGCACCAGTGGCATTGCATGCTCCATCAGAGTATACTATCCATGGTTTTCCATCTTCTTCCTTTTTGTCCACCTCATTGGGAGTCCATTCTGCCAAAAAATCCGCCAGAACTTGTGACTTTATAGCTGTTCTCGAGTTATACTTCAAATCAAATGGTAGAAGTTCCATTGCCCATTTTGCAATCATTCCTGCTACCTCCTTATTTTTGAATACCTCTCCTATCGGGTATGCTGACGGTATCGTTATGTCATGTGATAAGAAGTAATGTCTCAACTTTCTTGAAGCCATCACAATGGCATAAATCAACTTTTCCACTTCTGTGTACCTTGTCTTTGGCCCTTGTAAAGCTTCTGATACGAAGTAAACTGGCATTTGCTTGTTTTCTTTCTCTTGCACTAAGACTGCGCTTACTGTCACTGGTGTTGCCGCTACATACACTAGCAAAGGTTGACCTTTCGTGGACTTGCTAAAGTTGGCATATTCTGTAAGTATGTCTTCAAATCATCAAAAGCTTTCTGGCACTCGGCTGTCCCCTCAAATGAGTTTGCCCCTCTTAGGGTTTTGAAAAACGACAAGCCTTTCTCTGCAGATTTAGAAAGAAATCTGCTCAAAGAAGCCATTCTCCCTGTTAGCCTTTGCATTTCCCTTATGTTTTTTGGTGGCTCCATTTGGTGAATCGCTGCGATCTTGTCAGGATTTGCTTCTATGCCTCTCTTGGACACTAAGAAACCAAGCAACTTTCCTACTCTTACCCCGAAAACACACTTTTCCGGGTTAAGCTTAACTGAATATTTTCTTAAATTCTCGAATGTTTCCTGCAGGTCTTTGCCATGAGTGAGCGCCTGTTTGCTTTTCACCACAATGTCATCCACATAAGCTTCTACATTGCGGCCTAACTGCTTTGCCAATACCTTGCCTATTAACCTTGCAAAAGTTGCTCCTGCACTCTTTAAACCAAATGGCATTCAAATGAAACAGTAAGTTCCAAACGAAGTGATGAACGATGTTTTCTCTTCATCTTCCTTCATCATAAAGACTTGATGATAACCGGAGTATGCATCTAAGAAACTCATCAACTCGCAACCAGCTGTAGCATCTACTAACTGGTCTATTCTTGGCAATGGGAAGTCATCTTTTGGGCATGCTTTGTTGAGATTTGTAAAGTCAATGCACATTCTCCACTTTCCATTTGCCTTTTTCACCAAGACTGGATTAGCCAACCATTCAGGATGCATCACTTCTCTTATCACTTTTGCTTTGAGCAATTTCTCGAGCTCCACTTTTGCTGCTTGCTGCCTGTCTGTTGACATTCTTCTTAACTTTTGATTTTTTGGCTTGTACTCTTGCTTGATTGCCAAGTTATGTTCAATCAGGCTTCTATCTACCCCTTTCAGTTCTTCTGGTGACCAAGCAAAGACATCCATGTTGCTTTTCACTACTTTCAAGATTTCCTCCTTAACATGCTTTTCCAGATTTTCTCCTAACAAAATGTATTTTCCAGGATCATCATCATCTAACTGTACTTTCCTAGTTTTGCCTTCAGGAACTGGTTTCTGCAACTTAGAGTATTCTCCATGCTTTTGATCAACGACATGGACTCCTTTGACATTTGGCATTCCCTAAAGCTCAAACTTTCTTGCCGCCAACTGGCCACCTCGGACTGTTATCACTCCTCTTGGTCCAGGAAGTTTCATGCATATATAATTGTGATGTATTATTGCCTCGAAGATATTGATTGCTGATCTTCCGAGTATCGCATTATATTGATACGGCATGTCTACCACATCAAACACTATTTCCTCCTTCCTTGCATTGTTGCCTTTCCCAAAAACTATTTGCAAACGTATTTTCCCAATTGCATGTACTTGTTGTCCACCAAAACCTTGCAGAGGCACTCCTGCACTTGTCAATCTGTCTTCGGGTATTTGCATCTTTTTGAAAGCATCATAGAATAACACATCCGCTGAGCTTCCTCCATCAACCAAAACTCTTTGAACTTCGCATTGTGCTATTTCCACTGAGATCACCAAAGGGTCTTGGTGGGGGAAAAGTATTCCTTCCGCATCTTCAGGCCCAAAGGAAATTACTGTCTTCGAATGAACTGGTGGATTTGACTGATAGCTTGTCCCTACATGATTTACTTGTCTCACATATGCTTTTCTTTGTCTTTTTGACTCAATTCCCAAAGAAGAGCCTCCTGTTATGGCATTTATCACCCTTTTTGGAGCTTCTTCGATTGCTTCTAGATTTTTATGACTTGTGGTGCTTCTATAGCATTTTGCCCTCGCTGATCTCGGGCCCCCTCATACTTGTTCTCATATCGACTGACATGCTTTTCCACTAAGTAGGCCATGTGCCTACATTCCTGAGTGGAATGGCCTCCTGGACCATGAATTTGGCAAAACTTGCTATAGCATTCTTCCGTAGAATGACCACCTGGACCATGTGCTTTACAAAACTTGCTATGATCAAGCTGATATTCTTTTCCTCCGCTTCTGTCATTATTCCACTATCGTCCTCTACCTCTGCTAGAATTCCACCATTGTCCTCGGCCTCTTGCAGATTGCCCCCAATTGTCTCTTCCCTTTTCCTTCTCCATTATTTGAGTCATCTCCAATGAAGTTTACTTGTTTTTTCTGATCTTGCTTGTAATCGTTCTTGAATTTTTTCCATGGTTTTGCAGTGTTTTCTGCTTTTTGTTTTTCTCCTAAAGAAACTTGCTTGTTCTTCGTCTGCTTCTTTCCCAATAATGCAGCCTCTTCTGCTTGCACCCTTAGCTTATCTTCTTCTTCTCTTGCAAAACTTTCCATTCTTTCAAACAGGTCCTTTGCTGTCTTTGGCCTATTCCTTGCAAGATCGAAACGGAGAGGGCCAGGCAACAAAGCTCTTTTTGCTGATGCTATGAGCATCTCATCATCTACCTGCCTGATCTGACACCTTATTCTTGAAAATTTTACCATAAAACTTCTCAAGGTTTCTCCCGGCATCTGCTTCAGTGCGTATAGGTCATCTGCTTTTTTTGGCTCTTCATATACACCAATGAAACCTGCTCGAAAAGTATCTCTCATATGCTCCCACGAGTAGATTGACATAGGTGGAATGGTGGTATACCACGACAATGCCACTCCTTCTAGCATGGTTGGAAGTATCTTTGCTTTCGTTGTGTCATCTCCTCCGGCCGCTTCTACCGCCGTCTCATACACCCTCAAATACTCATTTGGATCTGTATCACCTTTGTACTTTGTGATGTTTGATAACTTGAGATGTATTGGCCAAGGTGCCATTTGCAGATTTTGGCTCAGGGGGCTCTAGGTATCGATTGCTCTCGCCGGTTGAAAATAGGATTGTGCTGATGCGAACTGGCCTATGCGGTTGGGGAATTGTGTGGCAAACTGGGTTATGTTTGGATTGGGCATTTGTGGAATGCAGTATTGCTCTTGTGTTGTTTCTGGTTGTTGTGAGTGAAAAGAGGGAAAGGCTTGATACTGTTGGTTAGGGTTTTGCATTGTCTGATCATGTGATGCTTGTATGTAAGGTATATTGGCTTGGCGTGTTTGTACTTGAGGGATTTGAATATGTGGAATTTGCATTTGTGGAATGTTGGCTTGGGTTTGGGGGATTTGGTTTTGAGGAAAATGGGTCTGGTTGTAGAACTGTGGTTGTGTGAGCTGTTGGGTTTGAATGGAAGGTAGATTTTGAGTAGTTTGCAAGGTTTGAGTGGATTGTGGATTTTGGGTGGAAAGTCGGTTTTGCACAGATTGTGGGATCTGAGTGGGAAGTTGGTTTTGAACAGACTGTGGGATCTGAGCGGGAAGTTGGTTTTGAACGGATTGTGGGATTTGAGTGGGAAGTTGGTTTTGAACGGATTGTGGGATTTGAGTGGGAAGTTGGTTTTGAGGAACTTCTTGCGTTGGCTTGTCAACTGGAGCATTCCCTACTTGGGGATTCTCTTTTTCCACATTTCCAACATTTCTTTGGATCTCTTTCCCGACTTGATTCGGTTGACCTTTGTCAGTGTTTAATGTCTCTGCCTCTCTGCCAGATCCTCCTGCTCCCATGGTTTGATCATGCAAAGCTTGAAGCCTTTGTGGTTCTTTTTGCAGTTCTTCATATTGTTCTTTGTTCACCATAATAGCCCCTTGTGCTTGCACCATCTCGGCGAGCTCTACTTCACTAGGCGGGTTTTCTCTTGTTTCTTCTCTTGTTGGACCGGCAGTCTTTCTGCCTGGCATTGCTTTCTCCACTCCGGTTTGTGCTGATTGTCCAGTCATCTCTTCCCACTCTCTTTCAAGTGCTGCTGCTGCGCTTGCAAAAGTGTCGGTGTAGCGGATTGGCACTGACTTTTGCCTTTGGGAACGTTTCATTTACTATTCAAGCCCACTCCAAGGATACTACACGTCCCCACGGACGGCGCCACTGTCGTGACCTTGACCCAAGGTCACGGACAAGATTAGGGATAGACGGGAAAACCCCCTTTTCCCGCCTATCCTAAGAAATGAGCCCAAATACCAAATAAACACATACTAAGTGACAAGACTTTTAGTATTCCAAGATATCCTGCCTGCTACAGGCTTTTTGTCTGCTTTATATAGTTCACAGCTTTACATGTGAGATTACACTTGCACCCTTTGTTGGGCCCACATGAAATTACAATTATGCCCTTGCTATATCAGCTAACCCTAAGGGCATTTTGGTATATTATGGAGGTCATTATAGTCTTTTGGTGCCAGCTAGATGAAGTGGTTGAGTGGTCCTCGGGAATATTCTCTTGGCATCTTTGTTGTCTAAGTCGCCTTCTTCATGATCAAGAGTCTTTTCCACCACCATGGGTCTTCTCCTCGACCGATGGTCTTTTCCACCACCATGGGTCTTTTCCATGGCAAATAGTCTTTTCCAGTTCGACTACCCTTTTCGACTTATCCGGTAGCTGACCTGTTACTGACTTAGGAAACATTCAAAACGGATAATAAGACTTAGTGACAAGAATTTACTCGAACGGTATTTTCCGACTCGAATAGTGTTTTATCGTTTCCTTGTTCGAATGGTCATTTCCACTCGGATACTTACAATAATGACTCAATCTCACCCAATCTCTCTCTACAGTGTTTTGGGCCGAATATGGAGGGACGGTGGTCACCCCCTGCTACAACAAACATATCTTTAAGAAATGCTGATAAGAAAAGTAAATTTCATCCTATACCATACGTATCAAATTATAGTATCAAAATTGTACAATAGACCTTGATTCCTATTTTCCCTCAATTATATATGCTTCTCTTTGTCTAATCAAATGAGGGCGTGAGCAACGACAACTAGAGATACGCCGAGGAGATGAATAACCAGGAGTGCACACACAGCAGCTACCACAAACCGCAGAATCGTCGATGGCCGCACCCGAAGCTCAAATACTAGCTTCTGATTCTCTGTCACTGTCATCTTCAGGTAACCATCGTCGTCGTCTGCGGCAGCGTCCTCCTCGTCGTCGTCGTCAGTTTGGGCATCATCATCGTCGTCAGCTTGGGCAGGAACAGCTTCGGACGCAGGCGGCTCTTGCACCGGACGCTCCAACCCTAAAACGAATAACACCCAGTGAGAAACTACACAAGCACACGATGGATCGATCGATACAGGCTAGCTCAGGACGACGATCCGTGGCGCAAAATTGCTCAGATCAGAAACAGGATCAGAAGCAGAAGTAATTGATCAGAAGCAGACGATAGATGATAGATCGATACAGGGTCAGGATTACTACCTGAAGGTGAGGGTTTGGCGTGGATGATCCTCCTGAAGCAGAAGTTGGAGCAGGCGTGGTAGGGGTTGGAGGCGTTGATGCAGTGGGGATGGACGCGCGACCACCGATGATTATCTTCCCTGGACTTCACGATCTGCCGGAGGCAGTAGTCGGAGCACTCGTGGTACGGGTTCGACGAGTTGACGCAATCCGGCCGCGACTTCCCCGGCGGCGGCGGCGACGGCTTCTCCATCGGACCCACGATTAGCTCCGCCTTGCCCTAGATGACGATTAGCTCCGCCTCGCCCTCGTCGGAGACCGCAACGCGTGTGAATTGGGGTTTGGATTGAGCGAGGTGGTGGGTTTCTCTATTTGACTTCATTATTAGTATTATTCTCCTCCTCGTTTGCGAGTAAGATTCTAACTGGGCCGAGCAGGTGATGGGCTTGCGGGCGAGGCCCATTTATTTTTCTCGAGCCGTTGGGCCAAGGCCCACTCATCGCCGCGACCGCGATATGTGCGTCGTCTTCGCGGCCGGCGAGACTGCGCGAGGAGGAGACGGCGGCGGCGGCGGCGTACGTACGATGCCGGAGTTGAAGACGGCGAGATGCGGAGCCACAGGTAGTCGTACAATGCTCCTCGACGGAGAGTCGAAGAGCTCCTCCTCGTCTCGTCAGCGTGGCCCGGATTGATCTCCAGTTCTCCACCGCCGATGAGATCGACAAGCACAAGAGATTCTCCCTTCGCCGCCGCCGGCGAACGCAACGACAGCGGCGGTGATTGGCCGGAGGTGCGATTCTGAAGTGCGCCCTGCACAATACGGGATTACGGGTCCTTTCTGCGTCGACGACGCGCGGTCGTCGACGACATCGACGGTCACCTATCTGATTGGAAAATGGAAATGGTGGTTCTAGAGAAGTTCTTGTCTGCTTCCAGTCAGCACTCAGCACTCAGCAGTTCGGAGATGCTTGTGCTTCAATTGGTCTATTGAAATATACTCCTATGTAATAACCAAATTAACCCGAAAGCTTAAGTTGATGAGTAGAGACGGGTAATTCACTAATGTTGCAACACTCATTCTCTCACGCGAAACGCTCTAAATCTTAAGCGTGGAATAGGATTAGGCTGCAAACTTTTATTTGATAATTGCGTGTTAGTCAGGATTTGAACTCAAGATGCTTAAACTCATGAAAAAAGGAGGACGGCTTACTTCTATTTTAAAGCGTTCAACAATTCAACTCAAAAAGTTTCAAACAAGACAACTCATCAACCAACCTCCTGAAGAATTCTACCAAGTTGGCAAGTTCCGCTCCACAATCTTGCATATTTACGTCAAATTCTGTATGAGTAGAATTTCATCACCTGTCTCCCGGATCCCAATTCTCTTGGAACAGACACATGAACTTGCAATTGTTCTGTTTTTGTTTCCCAGGTTCTTTGATTGGTCGTATGGTTCGGTGCAGTTTTTCACTTCTGACGCCTACTTTCTTCACGAAGGTTTTGAGTAGCGACCTCATTTTCGTCCTTTTGTCGCCTACGTGTGAACCATAAATATAATCAGAACGTGCAACCACCCGTTTTGTTGAATGTCGATCACATCATCACGCACATCAGCTATGCTGCAAACACTGGAAAATTCTCCTTTTTTTTCAGGTCAAAAGACATTTTCAGGCACGAATTGGACGTCTCAAACCAAACAACTGACGAGTCTGAAAATTCCAAGCCCCCCAGGCATTCCTCATCTATAAGTAACATGACGTGTACAGTAGTACTGAATACTGATGATGCTGTATTATTCTGACCAAATGGCTCCATCTCCATTCTAGAAGATTCACAACCAGACCCTGCCAACCAGAAAGAGCAGCCATACTTGTCAAAGAGTTGATATCAATGATGGGTTTCCCTTGTTCATTGATGATAAAACAAAAGGGAAATTAATGGCCACATATCTTGGTTCAGAAGAACCTCCCTGCTATAACAAACATCGATCCGCCTATATCTTTTTATATAACAAATATGGACAGTGATGGAAAGAAAATGAATGAAAAAACTGGTTTGTGGACCACTTGGTTGGTGACAAAATTATAACTTATATAAGCAGGCAATTATCTTACAAAAAGAAGGGGGAAAAAAAGAAACAACACGCTTCTATTTTTACAATCTTCACGGAATAAATTATACTACTAGATCTAGAATATGGGACTCTTTTATAGGAGTGAATGGCGGTAAGAAAGTGTGTAGAAAGTACATGATAATACAGCAAAGATTGTGATGCTGCAGCCACAATAAAAAGCGGAGCCGATGGAAACACAGCTTCTATTGAAACCTACAGGACTATTGTCGGGATATACTTTTTTTTTCACCATCATCATCTGGAGAGGAAACCTTGTATCGCCAGCCTAGGACCACAAAAGGAGATACTGTCAACTAAAATAATAAAAAAAGAAATCACTTGTATGATTAAAGAAAATCTGCTGCTTATGTTCATCAAGTTAATTTTTTTGTATCCAACTAATATCTTTTTTTCCCCTCAAAATCATTGCAGATCTACAACACACTGGATTAGCTGGCTAGGGGAAAGAAAAACATATGTTGACCAGATGCTTACAGCTCATAAGATTTTTCAAAGCTTGACCAAAGAAAACTAATACGAAAAACTTTTTTTCCGTCATATGTCTTGCCTTACATGTTTGTAATCAGCACCTAAAAAATACATATAAGTAGTTACAGAGCTTCAATGGTTTTCTTGGGATCATGTAAGTTGATGTGCCCATAGCTAGGTCATGACAGCTGAGTTACTAGTTGTGCACAATGAAATCTAGAAACTTGTTGAAAGATGACAGATTTTTACTAGATGATGCATGTGACTCAAGAAAAACGAATCTGACTAGTTGACAATATATAACTACTAAATGACAATGTTATTGAACTAGTATCTTTCATGAAGGGTTACTTGGTCCAAAAAGTTTAGCTAGATGAACTTTACAAGTACCAAATCATGGCTTGATAACATGCCACCCATGTTAAGTGAAATATGTTCAGTTAATATACACATCAAACCAATGAAGTACAGATAACTTCAATGCGCAAGGATAACCGAACATAAAAGAGAATTTTCATTACCTTATCTACCTGTCACCCTTTCTCTTACAATGTTCCCCACACTTGTGGTAGGGATTGGACGCATTCACACAATCAGGATTGATTTCTCCTGTTTGCTCTGCTTTCACAACAGCTTTGCCCTTCCTTGAGTCTGTAAACAGAGAGATAGTAGGCATTAAAATGTCTGCCAAAGCTCTCGTATATATACACATGCCATGATAACTCATTGGGTTAACTAGATGTACCTGGTTTGCTTGTATCTTTCTGACCCGTTTCATTCAAATGATCAAAGCAGTATTGGGCGCATATATGGAATGGGTTGGACGCATTTGGGCACCTCGGATCCACCTTCCAGTTCTGCACAACAGAGATCTCCTTTCCCCCTGTAGGCGTAAACAAAACCAATTAAGAATGGCAGTTGAAGGTACAAAATATAATCTGAATTGAGCATATTCAGGATAAGCAAGTTGGTAGCATCATTATCATAATGCCACCATTCCATTCGAAATTCACAAGATTAAGACATGGGCCCTTTTATGGTACCAACAATTGTTTGTAGGTGATCCAATTCTTTCAAAGTAGTGGAACAAATCATTTAAGATTTTCTTATAATTTTGCATTTAATATAGGGAGGAACATAATAATTATTACAATAATGTAATAAAGCAAAAGGGTGTTGCTGCTTCTTTCCCACCAACAAGCACTACATGAACTGCGAAACATTATGGTGAACAGATCTTCCCATGATCATGGTTGGTCCCTTCAATTTTCCTTTCCCGTAAACCAGCAAAACTCAGTCACATTTCTTTTTTCCAATTTGCTTCCATGATACCAATCACTACATTTACAGTGCATATCAATTTGTTTGTACCATTAGAGGCATTTAAGGGATATGTTTAGTTAGGTTTAGGGTTAAAACAACTAACCATTTATCCCCTAATCTACACTAACATCAAAATTGGGGAAGCTAAGAAACCATAAACAATCAGCAGTGGAAGGCCACTAGTATATGCTACCTTTCTTGCGTGAGGACGACTTCTTAACAGTCTTATTCTGCTGACCCACCTCCTTCATCTTGGCAGCACAATGCTCAGTGCATTCATGGAATGGATTGCCAGCATTTGGGCACTTAGGATCCACCTTCTTGCTGCTCCCCGATCTCACGCTGCCATCTGCGCAACCATCCAACAATTGTTATGACAGATAATACAAAGAACAACAAATCCCAAATATGATGTTACCAATCAGTAGCAAGTAACGAATCGAGCAAAGAAAGACAGAAACCTTCAGAGGAGGAGGAGCGGCGCGAGTGGCGGGAGAAGAGGGACATGGGGGACTTCCCGCCCTCCGACGAGCGGCTGACCTCGGCCATCTTGGCGGCGCAGTGCTCGGTGCAGACGTGGAACGGGTTGGGCGCGTTGGGGCATCGCGGGTCCACCTTCTTGCCGTCGCCGTCGGCTCCCTCGCGCACTACAGCACCAAAACCCAAATCGAATCGAATTCTCATACTTTCTTCTGAAAGTTGCTGCGAAGAGATGGGGGGCAAAGGAAGGGAGGTGCTCACGGAAGACGTAGAAGGGGAGGCCCCCGGATCCGCCGGCCCTGTCGCGGCGGCGCGGCTTCGCCTGCAGCTCGCCGTCGCTGTGCGTGCTCCCGTTCTGCTCCGCGATTCCGTTCTGCGCCGCGGCCGTCCCGTTCTGCGGCGCCGCGGTCCCGTTCTGCGCCGGTCGGGAAGACGGCGGCGGTGGGGGCGGCTTGGCGGTGGCGGCGGCGGGAGCAGGGACGGGGCAGTAGTCGGCGCAGCGGTGGAAGGGGTTGGCGGCGTTGGGGCAGGCCGGGTTGACCGCCTGCCGTTCCTCCATCACCGGCGGCTCTGCTGCTGCTGCTACCCCCACCAACCCAACCCCTCCTCCTCCTCCTCTTCCAAGATCAAAATCAACCGCAGCAGCAGCAGCAGCAAGGCAAGAAAACCAGAATAAATAAGGATGGTTTGACTTGCGAGATGCTGGTGCTGCAGCGCAGAGAATTCCGAGGACGAAGGGTGTGATTTGAAAGGAGGAGGAGGAGAAGCTGGGGTTGGGTCGTTGGCTGGGGTGGGAACTCGATCGGGAGGTTGACGACGACGAGGAGGAGGAATTAACAAGGGAGGGAGGAGGGCGTTGGAAATGGAGGAGGAAGGGAAGAGGTCAAGTCGCAACAACTGCTGTGGATGGTGGTACTGGTACAGCCGCGGCGCCAAACGGTCAGGCCGGTCCAATCTGCTCGCCTCGTGTAGTCGTCTTCATTCTGTTTTTTTTTTACTATATAAATTTCATGCGTAATCATTTTTTTTTCCTAAAAGTATATAGGAAAAATATTATTGGTACCTAATTCAGATTTCAGTTGGGATGATGGACTTCAAAGTTTCTGCCGAGCCATATATATAGTTTTCTTATGGCTCGGCAGAAACTTTGAAGCAATTAGAAGTCCGACTCTCATCTGAAATGAGCATGAGTTTTTTTAAATGATTTTTTATACTATGCCTTATATTTTTAAAAGCGAATGAAATTATAAACCGACTGAAATTACTAAAATATTAGTAAAAACATATTTAATTTTTATAATTGCAGGGGAAGAGATTTGGTGCATTCATGTTTATACTCGTCAAGACGTATCAATACGAAATCAGGTTTAAGAGAACCGTAAAGACGCACACCTTCCACCTGTTCTTAATTGTATATTTATGAGGATCATTAACAGCATGACAGCTCTGCGCAGTAGAGCTGGTTGCGGCTATATTACGTACCAGTACTACTTACCAACGATTTAGCAGTGTTGCGGCTGTGCAGTCGTAACTCGTAATACCATTGATTTTCCTTGATTTTATCAGCAAATTATACAAGAAACGTAGTATGATGATATTTTTTAAATGCGAATTTAACGATACAACATACACAACATCAAACAAACATAATACTCCCCCGTCCCACAATATAAGGGATTTTGAGTTTTTATTTGTAAAGTTTGATCACTCGTTTTATTCAAATTTTTTTTGTAAATATAAAAAACGAAAAGTTGTGCTTAAAGTACTATGAATAATAAAGTAAGTCACAAATAAAATAAATAATAATTTCAAAAAAATTTAAATAAGACGAGTGATCAAACTTTACAAGCAAAAACTCAAAATCCCTTATATTATGGAACGGAGGGAGTATATATTCTAGTTTAATAGTTAATGAAAAGTGAATTACTAATTTTTTAAAAAAATTTAATGTTGTTTTATATTTGCACACGTGAAGGCCAAAATAAAGTTATTGGTCTGATATGTGAACAGTATTTTGGTCAATCACTGATCTAAACCAACAAAGTACAGCCATGTACTCTACGAAACCCGGAACAACTGTTTTTTTGTTTAAAGACGACTAGAGCAACGAGTACGTGTGCGCGTGCGTGCGGCTAGTAAGGAACTTTTGTTTTTTTCTACTTTCAATGTCTGCAAGACTGGAAGCTTCCAGGAGAAAAGGAAGGAGGAGTTGAGGAAGGAACCAAATAGCGGAGGAGCACCACTGTTTTGGACCGCTCTTCTACTCGATCCATCCGTGGCTGCTTCGTTTCCACTGAATTTCCAAGCTCTCCCCAGTGTCAACTGATCGTTTTCTCCTCCAAAAACCATCGAGATACAGAAAAGTAGTCCCTCAGGTTAATAATTCGTAGCCCTAAAATTTAAATTTTTAAACTTGATTTTAAAGTTGATTTTAAGATACTTCAACATAATTTATTTTCAACATTGGCTTTAAATCACTACGAACAAATGTATAAAAAAAATTGTCTATAAATTGTTTTTATTCCCTAACAAGCCGTATTGAACAAAAGCTCACGTTTTGAACAAAAGCTAACATCAAATTTTATTTTTTTAACTATAATTAAATTCTAAAATATTAACCATACATATTTTAGTATTAAAAAAGTACTTTAATAAAATAATATATTTGATGATATTTCTATATGTATTATAATAAAAATGATAGTACAAACAATAAGTATTATCAATGACAGGAACTTTTTTTTTCTCTACCTAACGCGTTGTTGTTGTACTATAGTACTATATGGTACCTGTAAAAAAAATGTGAATGAAGCAACACAACTGTCACGTTTTCCGTTTGCACTTTGCAGCCAGCACAGCCGACGGCGATCTCTTGTGTTTCCAGCGTGACGAAACGGATGGATGGCTACGGATAGAGTGGTGCTTTGGTGTGCTTTTGTTTTAATTGTTGTCTCTTCTCTTCTCTCGTGCAAGGCCGGCAGTGTACCGTGTGCTGATAAGAGTTCAACCACTAAAGTTCCGAGTAATAAAAGACCCAGACAGTACAGAGGAGCCACTTTGCATGCATAAAACTCCTACTCTACTGTACTCACAGTTGCACGGCTCAGAATTTATAGCATACTGGAGTATGTGGTTGTTTATGCAGGACCAGATGATCAAAAGTTGGTACTAGTACAAAAATTGAGTGATTCTTTCACAACTCATCATTATTGAGTAGTGGGGTTGTGTATACTTGGCTAGTGTTTGTCTCATCATTATTGCCTTCCCAACTGATCGTAAGCCCGTATAGGAAGTTCCGGCCCAGAAGGCCATAGTTGCATTTCCATCTGGACCCGAACAAATAATCGGGCCAGAAGCTGAACAGGCCATATTGGACTATTCTTTTGACGAAGTGACGGAGTTTTTATAGCATGTGTAGGCAGAAGGATTAAGTTCACCTGCCGTCCCTCAACTTTACACCGAATTTGTTTGACATCACTTATCCTCAGTATTAAAAATCTTCACCCCTAAAATATATAAAACCGTGCAATTTAGGTTCCATAGATATCTGGTTTCGTTGACGTGGCATCATAGTCAGCAAAATAAAATTAAAAAAAATGAGTCCTACATGTAAGTGAAATGAGGAGAAAAAATGTGAGACCCACTTATCAGCCCCATCATCTTATATAGAGGGGGAGGCCAGCCGGAGAGGGGGGAGAGGATGCCGACAAGGGGAGGGGGGGTGCCAGCAGGATAGTGGGGAGAGGATGCCGGCCGCGTCGGTGGGAGAGGGGGAGAGAGGCGACCGGCGTGACATCGTTGGCGGTGAGAAAGCGCAGGGAATGAGCCATAAGGAGGTGGCAACAGCGGCGGTGGCTGGAGGGGGCAAGGCAGCGGGTGCGGAGGGATCTTCATCTGCAGGCGACAGCGGCGGAGCTCCGCCGCCGCAAGCACCCTGTCGAGGCCGACGGTTACCCACAACCATCCTCCGATCTGCTCCGTCTTCATCGTCGATGCCGCCCCCACGCGCCACCCTGGATCTGCCTCGCCCGGTCCGCCCAAGGACCTTCACCACTTCCTCCGTCGCTTCCGTCTTGGACTCCTCCCGATGCGCCGGCCTTGGCTCTCCACCGATGGCTGCTCCGCCCCTCAGCCCTCCTCTTTCTCCTCTCCCGTCGGCGCGGTCGGCCGCCTCTCCCCTCGCTAGCTACTCCGCACGCCGCCGCTACCACAACCCAGGAGTACAAAACCATGGTGGATGTCCGCGCGGGGCGGCGGCGGGCGAGCGTGGTAGCGGGCAGTGGGAAAGGGGGCAGAGAGATGGCCGCAGTGGCATGTGCGCGTTGGTGCGGCGACAGAGCTCGACCGGCTGCCTCGCCCCAATTTGCCACTGACAACCTCCTTGAAGAGGAGAAAATAAGAAAAAAGAAAGAGATGTGGGCCCCATATCTTTCTTCTCACTTCACTTACATGTGGGACCCACATTGTTTTTAGTTTTATTTGCCACATCAGTGAAACCAAGCATTTGTACTGCTATGTGACTTAAATTGTATGGTTGGGTGAAAATTCCTGGTATTAAAGATAAGAAATGTCAATCAAACTCGGTGTAAAGTTGAAGGGACGGTAGGGGTGAAGTTATTCCGCAGGCAGAATCATCGATCATGCGAATTCGAACCCCATGGAATCAGTACAACACACCCCATCTTGCCATAAAACCGACCCGTCACGTACTAAAAACTCCTTCCAACGATCTAATTCCATGGATGGTGGATCGCCTACAGGATCATTTACCATACTACCACTACTCTCTGTCCCAAAATATGTAATCTAGGATTGGATAAACGAATTTGAACGAATTCATACATATTCGTTGCAGTAGAATGTCCATTCAGTTCTTAGGGACGGAGGGAATACTAGCATTTATACTGCCATATTTTGTCATATTGACAGCATTTATAACCATTAATCATCCTCTGATCTTCCCAAATCTCCATCAGCCTGCCGCTGGCGGTGACCATAAAAGCCCCGACCAGTCGACCCCCTTTCGCGGCCGCCGGAGCAGCGGCCGGCCACCGCCGGTGTTAACAGCGGCAGCCTTTTCATGCGGCCACAACGGTCAAAAGCGCAGAGCATCCGAGGCTGGCCCACCACCACGCGCCCGACGTGACGAAACTGCCCCCCATCTCTCTCTCTCTCTTTCCCCTCCCACGCAACGACAAATCCGGCTCGAACCACTGACCATCCCGTCCACACTGCACCGCGCTAGCTCACTCCCTCACTTGCGTCCCCCCTTCCCGTGGCTGATCTCGCCGTCGTGCGGCCGCGGGCTCCGGCGACCGGTCATGGCGTACTCCGGCGGTGGCGGGAAGCTGTCCGCCGTCGATGCGATCCTCGCCGAGGCGGCCGACCTCGTCGCGCTGGAGCAGATCGCCAAGCTCAACACAGCCCACCTCGCCGCCGACGGCGACTCCGCGCTCCCTTCCAGCCTCGAGTCCCGCTTCCGCAAGCTCAAGTCCCTCCCCGCCGCGCCGTTGCCTCCGCCGCCGCCCGCCAAGTCCCTGGGCCGCAGCGCCACCGCGCCGCCCCACCACACCGACCCGCCGCCATCGGAGACGCCGGACCCTGCTCCGCCTGCGCCCCCTGCACCGGCGGCACAAGAACGCCGACCAGAAGACGCCGCCAAGGAAGCCCAGGAGAAGGAGAACTCCTCGCCGCCGCCGTCGCAGGCTCATCCTCCACCGGCCGTGACCGTTCCGACGGCGGCGGCGGCGGACGACAACGAGGAGGACCTGGAGAAGCTGTTCAGGCCAGGGCGCGGCCGGCCGACGCTGAGGGAGAGGAACAGGGGGAGGGACGACGGCTCACCGTCGCCGCCGCGCCAGGCGTGCTGCTTCGGCTTCTCCCCCAAGAAGACGCTGCAGAGGACTCCGACCGGGAGCGGCAGGAAGAGCCGCCGCGCCGGCGTCGCCGCCGCCGCCGACGACGACGTCCTTGGCATCGGCGACGCCGGCGAGTGGGGCGACGAGAACAGGAGGATCGTCACCGAGCTCAAGCAGCAGCAGCGCAAGCTCAAGAAGGCGCTCGAGGAGCAGGTCAAGGTCAGCAGGGAGACGGCCAAGATGGCGCAGTGGGTGAAGCAGGCGTCCGCGCGGATGACGCACACCGCTGCCATTGACGACTTGCTCAGCGACTGCGACGATGAAGACGAGCTCAAGTGAACAAAAGATTTCATCACTGCTGCTTCTGCTTTATCTATGTTCCAAAATGTTTTAGGTTACAACATAGAAGAGTCATATGAATCAAACTTCAGGGAAAAGGATATAAATCCTGCTGTTTTCTAGTATTTTGCATGAGATAGACGAAGAAAGATATATGAATGGGATATGTAATGTGGTCAGGAGATGTAGAAATGAAGTACAGACTTCTTGCCAAAATTTCGTCTTTTGCCCCTCCCATATGTCTCCTAAACCATTTACTGATTTACACAGCCTTTCCTGATGCCATTATGAATTCAGTAATAGTATCCTGACAATTTTCTAAATAGAAGAACTCAAGAACAGCGTTAAGGTCCAGTATGTGAAAATCATGATTTCAGTAACAACACTAGGGCAATTTTTTCTAGTATCTAAATTCACAAGCCACTGCTCACGCCATTACGAGTTCATACTTGGGCAATTTTCTCAGAGAGCATTTGCAGTACATGAACGTATACAGAAACGGACACACTTATTTGATTTAATTGGTTCATTCTATTTTATTTTGAGTTATGGTCTATTGGTACAAAATAAAAAGGATCAACGCAAAGAAAAAACGAACACTTTATCACAAAAGAATTGCCCTGTCATACAGTATATCACAAGATGATTGATTACATATTTACATGTCATTTTATACTTCACTGAATCTTGTAACACACAAGTCAATATCAGACCATCTGATACTATCAACATCTCCTTATGACTTTATCGTGCAAAGCTACTCATGTATGATTCAGCAAGAAAGCAACATGAGGAAATTCTAAATGTTTCGTGTATATCACTATCTCCAAATATAATCTTTTTCATCTGAAACATACGGAAATATGTGGGGTAGAAAATTATGTATCATAAACAGAAAGTGAACATTTCTGATTCCTCCTTATCATGATGCCTGTAAGTGTTACCTACTTGTTGCCTTAACTACAAAAATTGCATGCTCAAGTACAAACACACAAGTGTACCAATTGATCCTATGATGTAAAATGAATGAAGTCCTAATTCATTCATTTGTGTTTGACTGATCCTACATACTGAAATGAATGTAGTAGGGCCTGACTGTTTTAGTGCGTACCAGCATTGTGGAACCAGGCTTATGAAAGCATCAACGGATGACCATTTCCAATGTTCTGTCCAACCTCAAAATTCCAAAGTTCAGCAATTCAAGAGAATTGCTGCCATTGTGTCAGTCCAACAAGCTTCAATTGCAGACACAGCATTTGTCAACAGCAGGTGATCCAATGGTAGAATAACACAGAGGGCCTCTCTGGAGTCTTGATTCGTTGAATATCCCACAAATTGCACCCTGTGGATTCCTTTGTGAACCCTGAATGTAGTTCGATATTCTTCCTCTGTGAAAGAGTGCAAGAGTATCAACAATCATATGTTGAGGAGGAACCAAGTAAGATGGATTTCTAACTAGAAATAGAGATAGACATGGAAATATGAGAACCTTATTTCTATGCTTAAGATAAATTGAGGGCTTGATGCCTCATTGTTTTCTCCCATGAAATTTAGTAATAGGTAAATCTGAAGCGAATAGAGGAGCCGAGCTATTGCAATGTTTAAAGCAAGAGGTCATCTTACAGTTGTAGGATAAACTATACAAGATTTCAAACGTTGATATGTTCCATAAAGTTGTGACCTAACTTTCTCTCTCTCTTTTTCTTGAAAGGAGCCTAACCTTCTCTTTCTAAATAATGTTGCTTTCTGTCTTTTTTGGCACACTCTGCAGTAAACAAATTAAAAAGATAATTGGAGGCTTGGAGAAATTTTATTGAGTGACATCTTACAATACTGAGGGAGAAAAAGAACTGCAGAAGTGTCTATATATTCCTGAGCAAGCCAAAACTCACCTGTGTTTACTATATATCGTATCTGTTTCAGACATTCAGCATGGCAAGCAAAAAAGGGATATGGTATTCTTCAAGTTATAGAAATTGAAGCTTGAGCCACTTCAGAATTGTAGGTATTCCAATTTCGATAACCCGCCAAAGCATCCATCCCTGGAATTCAAAAGGGTGGCTACAAATGTAACATTCCCCTTTGTTCCAGTACAATAGAGGCGTCATTCAGCATTTCTCTAGCTTTTCTATCAGGAGTACAACCAGCACCCTCCATCTCCTTATATACTTCTGACACCTATGCAGGAAAATAATCAGAATTACTTCAATCTCCTAAAACCTTAGATTAATAAGCCATGTTTCATAAAGCTTTGTTACAATATTTTGTATCATCAAGATGATCTAATAGCATAATATAATGTGAGATAGTTGCATACATGAGGAAAAACTTATTTTAACAGTTATGGTGAAGAGCAAAACAAATAAGTATTCAGAATTTCAACAGAAATTTAGGATGAGGATTTGCTACAATCCATGATATTTAAGTTACTAAATGCTAAGGAGTAGAAAAATAGTGGACATGCCTTTTCAAATTTCTTTGCTCTCATGAAAGCCTTCATAAGTGTTGTGTAAGTCACAACATCTGGGCTCATACCCTGAAAAAATGAAATCAACAATAGGTAGAAATTGCTCAAACTAAGTTAAATCATGGAACCCAAAAAAGAAACATTAAAAAAAACACTTTTCTTCTCTCATTTCTGGAGAAAGAACGTACGCTATCCTTGATATGCTGGAGTACAGCAAGTGCCTCCAAATGCCTTCCAGCAGTACCAAAAGCATTTATTAGCAAATTCAGCATAACAAGATTTGGCTCAATTCCTTCTGCCTCCATCAATTGAAGAACATTTACAGTTTGTTCACACAAACCCTGAAAAGAGAGAGTTGAAATGGTGCACAAGCCACACAAACTGAAAGGTATGCACAGTGACATGTAGATATTGATGTTTTTAGACCAATTAAGCCTTCGTCCAAAAGAAAACAAAACTGTGAAGGCAGAATGATAATTGAAGATTCCAGAGCGTTTTGAAACTACAGTAGAGACTACCGAGTAATGCCACCACATTTTTGACTCTCTTGATACCCTTGCCATGCCTTGCTAGAGTGTGCAAGAACACATGTGCCTTAGGGCCCATGTGTGACACATGGGTGGGATATAATCATTGCCACCCCCTTTAACTAGAACTAAACAGAATGGGTGGCAAATGAACAATGAGCACGGCATTGAACAGATAAACAAAATGGTCAGGATTCACTGAATTATTCATGGATATTTTAATCCAGAGATAGAACTGTGATTTAATACTAAAATGACTGCAAATTGTTGTTTTCCAAAGTTATATTATCACTTTGACACTCTATGTTAGTCTGCATCAGATGTTAATAACAACTATCATGCCATTAGACGAAGTTGATTCCATCTATATCCAGTAACTAGACTAACCTGTTGAGCATATGCATTGGCCAAGACACAAAAGATGCTAGGTGAAAGCTGCAGATTCTCAGCTTTGAGAGCAGCTACACAGTCATGGGCATCACGAAAATGGCCGTATTGTCCATAAATGTCAACCAAAACTGCATACACTGCACCACTCTCCTTGAGCCCTCGATTCCTCATGCCATGAAACAGCTTCTTAATTTCGTCCCACTTCCCCTGTTCCCCCAACCTGCTGATGATTGTAACAAAGATTTTAGGATCCGGATACATTCCTTCCTCCTGCATTGCAGCGAAGAATCGCAGAGCACGTTTCGTATTCCCCACACGACAATGCCACCGAATCAAAGAATTCCATGTAGTAATATCAGGCTTGACCCCTTCTGCGCACATTTTGTCGAACACCTTGCGTGCATCCGCTAACTGCCCATACTTGCCGAATGTATCGATCAACCCGTTGTAAATCTTGACATCGAGCTCCACCCCGAGCTCCTGCATCTCCATGATGAGGTCGGTGGCCTTCTTCCACATGCCATTGTCCCTGTACAGCCGCACCAGCGTGCTGTACCCGGCGGTGTCAAGCCGAATACCCCGGCGCTTCATCTCGCCGAGAACCCACCACGAGTCCTCGAGGCGGCCGGCCCGGGCGTACGCGTTCAGCAGCAGCATGTACGTGCGCCGGTTCCGCGCGACGCCGTCGTCGGCCATCTGGAGGAGGAGGCGGTCGGCGAGGCGGAGGTGCGCCGTGGAGAGGAGCCCCTCGAGGAGGGCGTTGTAGTGCGCGGCGTCCGGGCGGAGCCCGAGGCGGCGCATCTCGAGGAGGAGCGCCTCGGCCTCGAGCGTCCGGCCGGCGCGGGCGAGCGCCCGGATGAGGCGCGCGTACGCCGCGCCGCTGGGGCGCAGCCCGGCGGCCTGCATGTCGGCGAGCAGGCGGAGGGAGGAGGCGAGGTCGGAGCCTGCGTGGTGCTGAATGCCGCGGTCGTAGGACTCCCACGGCCGCTCTTGGCTGCCCACTGGGCCGGCGGTGGCGCGGCACGCGACGGCGCCACCGACGCGGCGGTCATGGCGGCCTCGAGGTAGAGGCAGGGTGGGTGGAAGCTGGAGTGGTGGAGGGAGATGGAGGCGGACGAGGTAGTATGCATCCATGGCGGCGCGCGCGGAGACAGGAGCGAGTTGGGGAAGAAGAGTGGAACCGATAACTAACTAAGAAAATACGCGTTCCATTAAAGAATACGTATTTCAGGTAATCCGCTAACTAATCGGGTTAGCGGTCCCCCGAGAAGTGCTGAAGGCGGAAACCCGGAGAGATCCTGACATCCTGTCTAGAGTCTAAGATCCGGAGAGAAGCTAAGAGCCATGTTCATTCTAGTCTAGAGTCTAGACCATGATTTTCATCAACATTCGATAGAAAAGGAAACAGAAAATAAAATTCGTCTATTATCATGTGCTTGTTAGCTTATACTAAATCACAGCCTAAATTTAAATTTCAAAACTTGAAGTTGATTTTTGTCTTAGGCTATTTTCTAGCATTATTTTTTTATGTAGCTAATAACACATATATTTAACCGTAATATTTTTTTATTTCATTTAGGTTTCAAGTTGTAGCTAAAATGATCAAAGCATCTCATATTTTTAACTTAAAATTACTCCACCCGTTCTAAAATATAATGTTTTTAGATTGTTTAGCAAATACTAGTTAAAATATTTTTTTTAAGTTACTTCAGTTATTAATTTTTGAATTTTGATTTTTTTAGATTCCTTTTCAAGCATGTGATTAGCTTTGGAATCATTTAAATCATGAGAATCAATGCGTGAATATTAAAATTGTGGCATAAAATTTAAGAGAAAATCTACTCCCCGGTATCCCGTGGTGTCGAGATAGCTCTTCAACCTTATCCATCCGACCCGCATCCTCATCCACCCGACGCAATCCCCATCTCACTCTCGCCTCACTCCACTCCTCTCTCTCTCTCTCTCTCTGTGTGAAGAAGGCCGAGCGGAGACGAAGCCGGCCGGGAGGAAGGGGTCGTCGTCGTCGTCTTCAGCGGCAGAGGAGGACGACGACGGCACTGCGTTGGCGAGGTCGACCAACCCTCAACAGGGTCGCCCTCGAGCTCGCCTCCCCTTGCTGCGCCGCTCTAGCTCGCCGCCCTCGTCAGTCGGGTGTGCGCCAGGGAGTCGTCGCCCCGGGGAGGGCAGAAGCGGGAGCTCCCCTTGTCCTCGCCCTCGGCCTCGGCGTCACCGTCGTCCCCGCTGCAGCCTATTGCTTTGCGCCTCCGGGATGGACGCCGGCAGCCTGTGTCGACTTGCAACAGGTATGGCCGTCAACCTCCTCTTCGGCTTCTCCTCGAGACTTCTCACGCTCTCTGGCTTGGGCCTCGACCCTCAACTCGCCGTGCGTCCTCGACGCCATCCTCCGCCGTTGCGGCCCTCCCTCCCCCACGTCTCCTCCTCTTTTTGATGGTACCCTCTGATGCCCCACAAGTATTAGGCTGATACCGAGATACCACCCGGTACCTTGGCACCGGGTATTAGGTATCAGTCGATACCTAGTCGGTACCAAAGGTATCAGGTACCAGGTAAGGTACCAGGTATCAGGCATCGGTCGATACCTAGTCAGTACCAAAGGTACCAGGTACCAGGTACCAACCGGTACCTAAGGTACCATGTATCAGGTACCAGGGAGCACGCGTGGACATACCAGGTATCAGGTACCAGGGAGCACACGTGGATAGAGGAAAGGAAAAGGGAGAGTCACTTAAAATATCCCGTTGTGTAGCTGCCCTCAAAATTTAAATACTATAAAATACTTTTATTTTAGTAGAAGTTTAACACGGGATAATCAAGAAGACGAGGTATAGTAACCTTGATCTGTCTGCACAAACTCTTCAACGTCTGAAACTCTGAACCTTGATTAGGGAACCCCATCTCTTTTCAGCAACTTCACTGAACACCTTTTTGGTGAGATGAAAATATATTACGTGCAAGCTTTGAGATAACACGGCTGCTAACTGCAAGACACTGAGTTGCATTGCTCATCGCGTCTGCGATGATGCGAGGCCGACGCCATATCATAGCAACCATATAATATTTAAAATTCAGATGACTTCGGTCAGGTTGGACCCAAGGGTCAAATTGTCATCACATTTCTGCCAAACCGGCCAATCAATCATTCCCTGGATTTGTTAGTTAGACGATACAACTTTTTTAGCTAGATGATAACTACATGAAAACAACCCATCGGTAATCTTTTTTTTCTAGCTCGATGGATTATGATGCCGTGCACGCGTAATAAATCGGTCATCGCGATGGGTTGATTATTTAATTGGGCTATGTTGTACTAATAATTCAGATGCTTTGTATCTCTGAAGCTACTATATATGCTTACTTGCGCCACAAAAAAGGAGTAATTTAAATGCAAAAAAATTGACTATCTGTGTTGGTACGGCCCCATGTGTCTAAAATAGCCCCACATCATAGGGGTTGGTGCACCAGCCTAGTCCCTAATTGTTCATACGTGGATTAGCTGAAGAAATATAATGTCAGCACATCTGTACATGCTTGGAGAGATGAAACATAACGTCAAAGGAACTGTAGGTTATTAATCCATGAATCAACTTAATTATCAGCATGAGCTTGCAAGAGGGAATCCATTCATGAACAGGTAACCAATTAAAATATTCATGAACAAATCTGGATTCATTGTTTGCTCTGACAGTGCTGATAAGTGCTAATCCCACTGATGACATTATCCTGTAAAAACACCATTGACAGACTGATAAAGGTAAGCATGAGACATTTGGAGTAATCTTATCAGTTATCCCATGCAGGTGAAAGTAGTGATGACTTGTAGAATTTCTACGTGCGATTTGATTAGGCACAGCACCGGCTAATAATGTATACTTGCCAGCTGGTAGAAGTCTCCATTCATTTAGGTCATATCAAAGCAACCCTACTCTGACTGAATTCCTTTGTTCTTCAGGTCAAAAAGATTCAGATTTGCACGCCACTGGTTTCTGAACCTGATCCAAGAATCCGTGGCCGGTAAAAAATGGCCACCAAACCCCACTAGAAAAGGACACAATCTTTGCTCGATCGACTGTGTGTAGTGGGTACGCAGTGACGCGAATTTAATTGTTCTTGAGATCTTTCACAATGGGACCAAAATGATTAATAAGTTCAGTGTAGATGAATAAGGTACGTGATGTGAGAACAGCCTGAATAATAAAAAAAATGTGCTACAATTTATATATAGCGGCTTGATTACTACTGTTTTGGTAGTTTAATTAGTTTATACATTGCTCTCTTGACTATTGTCCCTGCAACTTGATTAGTACACAGTAAAAAAAGGTGTGGTGTCTTTTCTTACGTACATGCTGCCTCGAGGAGCTTGGGAGGTATCACACTTGGTGGTAGAATAAATGCTAACCGTTTATATTTTTCAGTCCAATACTCCCTCCTTCCTAAATTATAAGACATATAATTTTTTACACAATCTTTAATGATATACTTTAACCAATAATTCTGTGTTATGAGATTAGCATCATATGAAAGTACTTTAAATATAAATATAGTGATATAACAATTATCGGGTTTGATTTTCCTTAAAATAAGAACGCACTGTAATTTGAGACGCAAGGAGTAGTTCATATCTATTTATACTACTAGCTACCATCTCAACTACAGGTAATAGAATTACTTTTTCTATTCCTGGTAAAAAAAAATAGAACTACCTTTTCTATTGTTGATAGAACTCGTAAATTAACGGTAAAGGTCACTCCTAATGGTGATAATACTAGTAATAGAATTTTACAACATAGATCATCGTAAAGGTAGTCACATGATACTATGTATTCTACATTTTCAAGAAATGTAAAATCACTTTAAACATATGTGACAAATATCAACTTGTCCCCAACCACCTTATTAGGCTCTTGGTAGTTGGTAGTGAGAGTATGGCCGGGAGCCTAGGGCAGCTAAGGCTCCACAATCATGTTTTGATCATCTTAAATCATCACTAAAAATTTGAAGGAAACCCATAATTCATTAATTGAGCCCTTGGCTAGAGATTTCTAGTTTCGAGCCTGGCCGGGTACGAGGTATGATCATGAAATGAAACTTTTGCGTATCGCTAGAGTTCTACACCATTTCAATGTGACTAATATACGGGTTAGCTTTAGTTAAACAAAAAAAAAATGGTCCACACAAGTGTTGTCGTTGCATTTTTCGCATCTAACGTACTACTCCGTTAGGTTTGGTCTAAATCAAACATCATTATATTTTGATCGAGTCTAAAAGAATATAATAACATTTATATAAAAATAAAATATATAATAAAAATATATTCAATGATGAATTTAGTGACCTAATTTGATATTGTAGATGTTACCGTGCTTTTTTCTATAAATTTGATCAAATCTTAGAAAGTTTGACTCGAGACAATCCCAAAATATCTTCTAATGTTATGGAACAGTCAGCAGAGGGAGTATATTGGTAGTATCCGATACTTCCTACTCTCTCCGTTTCATATTATAACCCGTTTTATTTTTTTTTCATAGTTAAATATTTTTAGTTTTGATCAAGTTTATAGAAAAATCATTTTTAATATAAAATAAACATATTATTAAAATATATATTCAAGGCTACATTTAATAAAACTGACTGGTGTTGTACATATTGCTATATTTTTAGTCCTGATCAAACATAATTTTGATTAGAAAAGATTAAAATAATCTACTATATTATTAAAGGAATAGAAAAAGAAGCCTCCATGTTTGCTCTCATGGTATAGAAATTCTCACATTAATCAGAAAAAAGAAAAAACAGAGTCCATATAGAAATACAATTAGGAAATAGCTGAAATTTGAAATTAAAAACAAGGAATATTAGAAGAGGAGACTAGAGTCCATATAGAAATATAATTAGAAAATAACTGAAATTCGAAATTAAAAACAAGGAATATTAGAAGAGGAGACTAGAGCCCATATAGAAATATAATTAGAAAATAACTGAAATTCGGAATTAAAAACAAGGAATATTAGAAGAGGAGACTAGAATCCATATAGAAATACAATTAGGAAATAACTGAAATTCGGAATCAAAAACAAGGAATATTAGAAGAGGAGACTAGAGTCCATATAGAAATACAATTAAGAAATAACTGAAATTCGGAATTAAAAACAAGGAATATTAGAAGAGGAGTATAGAGTCCATATAGAAATACAATTAGAAAATAACTGAAATTCGGAATCAAAAACAAGGAATATTAGAAGAGGAGACTAGAGTCCATATAGAAATACAATTAGGAAATAACTGAAATTCAGAATTAAAAACAAGGAATATTAGAAGAGGAGTATAGAGTCCATATAGAAATACAATTATGGAATAACTGAAATTCGGAATTAAAAATAAGGAATATTAGAAGTAGAGTATAGAGTCCATATAGAAATACAATTAAGAAAAAAATATAAATTCGGAATTAAAAAATAAGGAATATTAGAAGTAGAGTATAGAGTCCATATAGAAATACAATTAAGAAAAAAAAAAGAAATTCGGAATTAGAAAATAAGGAATATTAGAAGTAGAGTATAGAGTCCATATAAGAATTTAAAACTAACTAAAATTTGGAATAAACATAATAAAATTAAAAGTAGATTTTAGAGTCCGTATAAAAATATAATTTACAAATAACTAAAATTCGAAATTAAGAAAAACATGGGAAGAAGTGTTTAAAGATCAATATAGGAATACAATTTAGAACTGAAATTCGAAATTTAAAATTAAAGAATATTAAAAGATGAGTTTAGAGTCCACACAGAAATACAATTATAAATAATAAAAATTAAGAAATAAAAATAAATAATATTGGAAGAAGAGCATAAAGTCTATATAGAAATACAATTTACAGAAAATTCGGAATTAAAAAAATAAATATTAAAAGACGAGTCTAGAGTCCATATAGGAATATATATAATTTATAATTTACTAAAATTTGATATTAAAAATAATTAATAACTAACACGTATATAAAATATAATATGAAAATTCAAAAATAAAAATAAATAATATTGGAAAAAAAGCATAGAGTCTATATATAAAAATACAATTTACGGAAAATTCGGAATTAAAAAAAGAAATATTAAAAGACGAGTCTAGAGTACATATAGGAATATATATAATTTACAAATAACTAAAATTTGATATTAAAAATAATTAATAAATAACACGTATATAAAATATAATATGAATATTACACATTAGTAGCTTTGTAAAGTTATTGTAAAATTTAAAATTACGTTGTCATTTTAATATATTTGAATAATATAATTAGAAAACATATATGTTATTATATGAGAGAAAATATAATGATTCTAGTCGCGCAGATTGCGCGGGCCATTATGCTAGTTTATAATATGAAACGGTGGGAGTAATATATATTTGTACAGAGTGCGTGAAACTTATTTGGTGTGTGTAAAAGGAATGCGAACACGTGTGTTCGTGTACGTGGGGTGGATGGGTGTACCCGCTAGACTTGGGTGACCACCAATAGCACCCGGCCACCAACCCCCGTCTTCGTTTCCCGCGCTATATAAACGCGCCAAAACTTCGCCCACTCCACGAACACACTACTACGACCACCTTTCATCCCAACGCACATACGCACCTACGCATCACTCAATCGATCAACAATGGCGTCGTCTCCACTGCCGGCGTTCACGGTGCGGCGAGGCGAGCCGGTGCTGGTGACACCGGCGGCGCCGACGCCGCGGGAGGTGAAGGCGCTGTCCGACATCGACGACGGCGAGGGCATGCGGTTCTACAGCTCGGGCATCCACCTGTACCGCAACAACCCGGCCAAGAAGGGGCAGGACCCGGCCATGGTGATCCGGGAGGCGCTGGCCAGGGCGCTCGTCCCGTACTACCCCCTCGCCGGCCGCCTCCGCGAGGAGGCCGGCCGGAAGCTCGTCGTCGAGTGCGCCGGCCAGGGCGTCATGTTCGCCGAGGCCGATGCCGACCTCACCGCCGACGACTTCGGCGACGTGCAGAGCCCGCCGTTCCCTTGCTTCGAGCGGTTCATCCTCGAGAGCACCACCGTCGCCGGCGTCGAGCCGGTGGTCGGCCGCCCGCTGCTCTACATCCAGGTGACGAGGCTGCGGTGCGGCGGCTTCATCTTCGGGCAGAGGTTCTGCCACTGCGTGGTGGACGCGCCGGGCGGGATGCAGTTCGAGAAGGCCGTGTGCGAGCTCGCGCGCGGCGCCGCCGCGCCGTCGGTGTCGCCGTCGTGGGGGAGGGAGATGTTCATGGCGAGGGACCCGCCGCGGCCGTCGTACCCGCACCTCGAGTACCGCGAGCCGGCGGGCGGCGCGGACCGGCTGCTGGCGACGCCGCCGGAGGACATGGTGCGCGTGCCCTTCTTCTTCGGGCCGCGCGAGATCGCCGGGCTGCGCCAGCACGCGCCGGCGAGCGTCCGCGGCGCATGCTCCCGGTTCGAGCTCGTCGCGGCGTGCATCTGGCGCAGCCGCACGGCGGCGCTCGGGTACGCCCCCGGCGAGGAGGTGCGGCTCTCCTTCATCGTGAACGCCCGGGGCCGCGCCGACGTGCCGCTCCCGGAGGGGTTCTACGGGAACGCGTTCGCCTACTCCGTTGCGGCGACGACCGCCGGCGAGCTCTGCGGCGGCGACCTCGGGTACGCGCTGGGGCTGGTGAAGAAGGCCAAGTCGGCGGTGACGTACGAGTACCTGCAGTCGGTGGCGGACCTGATGGTGGTCGCCGGGCGGCCGCTGTTCGCGCTGTCGCGGACGTACATCGTCTCCGACGTGAGCCACGCCGGGTTCAAGAGCGTCGACTTCGGGTGGGGGGAGGCCGTCTACGGCGGTCCGGCGAAGGGCGGCGAAGGGCCGCTCCTCGGCGTCACCAACTACTTCTCGAGGTCCAAGAATGGCAAGGGCGAGCAGAGCGTCGTCGTGCCCATCTGCTTGCCCAAGGACGCCATGGACAAGTTCCAGCTCGAGGTCCAAGCTCTCACCGCCGAGCTCAGCTAGACCATTGAAACGCAGCATGTGTGTTCTACTGTTACTTTTTTTTTTTTTTGCCCAAGTGTGTTCTACTGCTCTTGTTTTTTCTTGGTTCAGAATGTACTTATACCTGTCGGTGTCTGATAAAAATTGCACTGACTATGTACTACTAATGACGATGTCCTATCGTGTTCAAAAAATATACTCTGTCTGTCCCAAAATATAAATATTTTTAGTATAATGATAAATTAAATATTTTTAACTTTAACTATTAATATAAAAAATTAATTATATAAAATTGATGTTACTAAATTTATCATTAAATAAACTATTATAATATATAACTCTTTTTATTTAAAATATTTTTCTTTTATAGATATTGTTGGTTAAAATAATATCTCGGAGATTGTGTTAGAGTCAAAATGTTTATATTTTTAGAACGGATCGTATCTCTCTACATTTCTCCAGTCCGGTCATCGTACAGCGGAGAGTTCCTGTGGAACGTGATCCGAGTCTGCTACAGTAACTAAGCACAATTTATGGCTACAGCCTACAGTATCAGTGTGATCTGGATCGTTAGACTGTGATCGTGTGGTTTGGTATCATTGTTCATCCACTGCGTTAGTACCTCTAATGCAGAGGATCTAAGTTGATATTTTTTTTCAGTTCTGTGAAAGTGTGTGGTACTAAATTATCTGAATCAGAACTGGTGATCTCTCGATTGAATGCATTAGTCTAGTTGTCTCTCATTGCTTTGCTTATTGGCTTATCAACAATAATCAGCATTTATAAATTTTGAAAATTTTAATTTTAGAAGAGACTTACCTTTGTGGTTTGTTTCGTTCTAGTCTATTTCTAGCTTGGCTGCACCGTAGATAATACGGATATAAAAAGTTGACCTATAAATTATTTTTATTCGTTTTTTTTCCGTGGCTTATCCGCACGACTGCTCCTCTTTTTAAGCAGAGGCGAACATCAACTTTGTTACAATCCTAAGATAATTTATATTTTTTAATAGAACTTCAAACAGATTTTTACTTGCTCTTAGGACCCTTTTAAATAGTAGGAATTAAAAAAAATAGAGAAAATAGAGAAGTGTAAAAGACAACAAAACATAGAAATGACCGTTTGTTTAGACCGTAAAACAAAATAATACAAGAATCGGATAAGAGAGATAGACTCCGGATTGTCTATTCCTATTCCGCATGAATTTCAAAGGATAGAATATAATAGAATCATTTGTTTCTAATATGATAGAATATATTTTTTTCTACAATTCAAGAGGGCCTTCGCAGTTAGCAATCATAAAAATAGAATTGAACAACAAATGTGACAAAGCAACAGTTGGGTCCTTTGAATCGTAGAAATGAAAAAACAGATGAATAGAGAAAACACAGGATTCTGACAGGAATACAATTGTAAAACAGAGGAATGTAAAATACAGGAAAAACACAGGAATGGCCATTTGATTAGACCACAGGAAAAACGCAGAAATCAGATGAGAGAGATAGATTCAGAGGAAATGTTCCAAGAGGTTAGACCTCTTGCTAACTTTCCTCCAAAATGTGTATAGGATTACCCATTCCATATAAATTTTAAAGGATTGGATAGGATCCAATCCTTTATTTCAAAAACCTTTATAGGATTTTTTTTCCATAGGATTGAAATCCTCTAAAATTCCTACATTTTTCCTACACATCAATGGAGCCCTAAAATTAATTCAAAAAAATTAAAAAAATTGTAATCACCTCCAAATTACCACTACTACTATAATATAAACCGTGTCAAGCAGGCAAGATCCTCGTTCCGTGTACCGAGGATGCAAGTGCAACAAGATGGATTTAAAGTACAGATCCCGTGGAACTTTCCGAGGTGCTCTCTGGTGAATCTATATCTTCTCATTTCTCCTTCATGGTTTCCCGTTTAGTTGCCCAAATTTTTTTTCCCAAAAACATCATATCGAATCTTTAGATACATACATGAAGTATTAAATATAGATAAATAAAAAAAACTAATTGCACAGTTAGAGAGGAAATTGCGAGACGAATCTTTTGAGTTTTTTGAGTTTAATTAGTCCATGATTAACCATAAGTGCTACAGTAACCCATATATGCTAATGACGGGTTAATTAGGCTCAAAAGATTCGTCTCGCGGTTTCCAGACAAGTTATGAAATTAGTTTTTTTATTCGTGTCCGAAAAATCCTTCCGATATTCGATCAAACATTCGATGTAACACACAATTTTTTTTTCGCGAACTAAACAGGCCACGTGAATGTGGAACAGGTGCGTCAACCAGCCAGCTATTAAATGGGGATTCTCTCTGTACAGTACAACAAAGAATCTGTTGAAACATGATTATGAATAAGCTGTTTGTATTTTAACCCAGAAATAATACTGAATAAAATTTGACCAAAGTAGGTCAACAGATCCACAGTTTTTTAAAAGCTCCTCGTTTAAGCATTTGCATGAATCTGCACAACAGCACAACCATGAGAAGTTACTGAAGAAATAATACAAGGAGTACTCTACTTCACAATACTCTGACAACAACCTTCTTGATTGCTTTCTTTAGAGATAGTTTAGAACACTTATATAAAAGTTCTTTTTCATCGTAGTTTATTTTTCAGCCTTTGCTTTTAGATACTACCTCCGTCCCAAAATAAGTGCAGCCATAAATATCCGTGTTTAGCGTTTCGACTATCCGTCTTATTTGAAAAATTTATGGAAAATATTTAAAAAAATAGTCACACGTAAAGTACTATTCATATTTTATCATCCAGTAATAATAAAAATACTAATCATAATCTTTTTTCAAATAAGACGAACAGTCAAACGTTGGACATGAACAGTGCTAAAACTACACTTATTTTAGAACGGAGGGAGTAGTTTAGAACACGCAAATAAAAATTTTACTTACAAATTATTTTTTATACACAAATATACCGTTTGGATTATTTCACCAAACATCCAAACGATGGGGCTGAATGACCGTAATGATCTTTGGTCTAAAATTTATATCACAATTGGCCGTTTAGAGAAGAGAAAATGACCTCAATGATCTTTGGTTTAAAAATTATATTGTGTCACTGGTTCCTTCTAGCCTCGTCACCTTCCCACACCTAACACTATCAATGTGTTACTCCTAACACTAGGAATGAAATATTACCGTATTAAATATTCAAAAGCATGTATTTTATGAGATGGGGTTTTGTGATTCTTCATATGGAATCCCATATTCTTGATGTCCTCGTGTTTGAATCGCTTCCTTGAAGTTTCTATTCTATCCTAGAACAATGGAAAGCAGCAGGAATATAGACAAAGCACGCAATTCTGACTGAACACCACAATATTAGTAGTAGAGGAAACTGTTCCAAATTCTCGAGAGAGGATATTCTCTCGTTGTTTGCATGTTATCTAAATAATTATATATTTTTTTTAAAAAAAATCAACAAGATAGATTAATATGTGATGAATTACTTTACAAACAATGTATACTCAAAATTAACAACTGCAAAAGTTACAACAAAAAATAAATTTGATTGCGAATATATATTAACTAGATATATTTTAATTTGTTTTTAACTTGCGTGATTGTGAACTGATCTATCACATATTAATTAATCTAGTTGATTGTTTATAACTATTTGGATGATATGTAATCCATAAGGGGATGTCTCATTCAGAGTTTAGAATCAACTCCCATAATAGTAGTGAAAACCGAGAGATTGTTTGTTCGCGCTGCCCTAATGGTGGTCGTCGGGCGGTCGCTGTCCACGCTGTCGTGGATGTACATCGTCTCCGACATGAGCCACGCCGGGTTTAAGAGCATCAACTTCGGGTGGGGGGAGGCCATCTATGGCGGTCTGGCGAAGGGCCGCTCCTTGGCGTGACAAACTACTTCTCCAGGTCCAAGAATGGCAAGGGCGAGCAGAGCATCGTCGTGCCCAAACTTCTATACCTTCGTGCGAAACATACCATTTAACAATTTAAAAAACGAGCTAACGAAAACTGAGATAGAATCATATATTACACACCTGGTGCACATACACCGGTACATTGCACTAGAATTTTTATTATTTTTTAGACTTTTTAATTTTAAAATAGATTGTCCCCAAAACTTATTTTCAAATACGAACCTTTTAATTACACTTGCGTGGTGAACACTGCCACATCACCCAAAAACTTATAATGAGAGTGTTAGTATTATTTTGCCACACCAATCTAATTGACGTGTTGAAAGTCGAAACCAAAGTGGCCACGCTAAAAAAATTCAGATTGTAAATTAGTTTTGCGAGCCCTTATTTTTAAAATTTTTAATTTTAAATAAGTTCAGAAAACAGAAAAAAAAGGGTACACTGGACATATTTGAACGAGGACTGGTTGTAGACCCCCGTTTTTATAACAGGAATCATTCGTGTAAACAGTACCATTTTCCTGGATCAAATAGTCTGGTACATACGAGTTCATAGCTGAAATACCAAATGCTTATACACGAGAGTCTAGTGCTAATTATTACATCATAAGCCCGCAGGTATTGTCTTAAATCATCGGACCAAGCGGTCCGGAATACATTCCAAAAGCAGAGTTAGGTAAGGCAGCGGAATTAAGGCAGCGGCACGCCATTGCCACAGGCAACGACCGTAACTAAGACCTACTGGGCGCCATCGTCTTCGTCATCCTCCTGGTAGTAAGCGTAAGGATCCTCCGAAGCTTCATCTCCGACCTCTGATTAAGTTTGTATATTGCAAGGGTGAGTACCAACCGTACTCAGCAAGCCACCACAGCAATAATGCACATGACAGGGGAATCCAAAGGATGGCTATGGTTCTTTTGCGCAAAGCAAGTTTTATAATTCTTTTCACAAGCCTAAGACCTAGCGTAGACTGATCAAGTTTTAATACCAGTGTTCACATTAAACAACGATGGTTCTGTCCACCATCCATTGTAATCCCAAGGATAGCTTCCCGCCATTGAGTCGTCATGATTTTCTGAGGACGTCCATATTCCCGCCTCTCAGGAAGTGGCTCCATCAGCATAAAAATCATCATGCAATATCCCATCCCACACAAGTTAAGAATTTAAAGTCTAGCCAAGTGTAATACATGTTCCGGTACTCATTAACCGCGAGCACGGCTATTCGAATAGATTTGGTTTACTCACACTGCAGTGGATGTACACTTTACCCGCACTCCGCGACTGTCCAACACGCCTCGTCCCAACACATGA